AGGACATCACGAACAGCTAAGAAAAGACCTAAGAACAATTACAAATACAGACAGGGAAGTGAACTTTCTCATAGAACGATTCCAGAAATGGATCTTAAGCCAGAACGTTAATATAGTCAGGTAGTTCTATGAATATACATAAGCTGAAGAAAGGATTGAAAAAAATGATGAACTTAACCAGACTAGACTTAGTCCGCTGGTCAATGTAAATATGATATATACAGACAAATAAAACTTGCTATAACAATAATAACAATTAAAAATAAAATAAATAAATAATAAAAACAACAACAACAACAACAACAACAACAATAATTATAATAATAATAATAAAAATCCTGTATGATCCTGTGACTGGAGATAAATTGATAGTTAATAGGAGTTCCAGAGTAGAGGAGCAGCAACTGAGAAAGACCGTAGTGTTTTGATCCTTATACCGAAGGATTGCTCGAGATTACTAAGATGGAACTAAGAACAACTACACTGGGTTGAACTGTCTATCGGCCGTGTCTTATTCTCCTCCCTTATGCGCATGCGCCATACATTAAGTACTAAATTGTTAACTAATACAACATCTTCCCCTTATCAGAGCTAGGTTCTACTGGAACAACTCTCCGGGCACTATGCTTACATTTTTTTTCAAATTCTGAGGTCAGCATTCCTCAATAAGCCGCTTTGGCTTGTTGATCACTCTGTTAGATCTTCGTGGCACAGTTTTGCTGGAAGATACATCACCATCATTTGGCAGCTTCACTTGCTCTTCCGAGGAGACTACTTCGCCCTCCAAGTCCTGTGGTGAATCGTCCTCGGGTTCCTCCAGTTCCACAAATTGATCTGTGGGTGCAGGCTTCAGGTCGAGCCTGTTTCTTCTGTACTTCACACCTTCCCCTGTCTGAACTACATATGAGCGAGGGGAAATCTCTTGAACTACTTTAGCTGGAACCTCCAAAAGCTTTTTTTCATGGTAGTACATCCGAACTTGAGAACCTTGATTGATTGCAGTCAGGTCCCGCTTGTCCTTGTCATATGTGGACGTCTGCTTTAGTCGCTGCTCTTTCTTGATCTCCACCACCAATGGCCCATCCTTAGTTTTGAGGAGCTGTGGGTGTATTGGCAGTGAGGTCTTTATGCGCCTTTACATCAAACGTTGTGCTGGTGATTTTTGTCTTTTGGATAATTCCTTTCACTCTCTTAACCGCAGCTTCTGCCAGGCCATTGAATCTTGGATAGTGAGGACTGGACGTCTTATGCTGGAATCTCCATTCTTCTGTGAACACTTGAAACTCGTTCGACGCATATTGTGGACCATTATCTGTAATTATATCTGTAATTAATACATCCGGAGCGCCATGTCTTGCAAACACCGATTTCGTTGCTTCTATTACTGCTGAGCTGTTTGTCTTGTTCAAAGTAAGCACTTTCGGATAAAATGAGTAGTAATCGGTGATAATCAGGTAATCTTTGATTGCATGCGAGTACTAGTCACTTGCAACTCGCTGCCATGGTCTTATGGGGAGTTCATGAGGTTGCAAAGGCTCACCTGGTGTCTTATAACTGTATTTGAGACATGAGCTGCAATTCTTTACTACTCTTTCGACGTCTCTGTTTACTTCTGGCCAGTATATTGCTTCTCGCGCTCGACTCCGGCACTTTTCGATCCCCAGGTGTCCCTCATGTATCTTCTCCAGAGTGCTTTTTCGCATGGCCTTGTGTATTACCAATTTACTACCCCTCAAAACTACGTCTCCAGCCACTGACAACTCATCTCTTATGTTCCAGTATCCTACCACCTCTGGAGTACAGTTTTCTTTGCTGACGGCCATCAATTCAGGATTTCTTTCTTTAATGCAGACATCTCAGAATCCTCATTGGTTTTCTGTCTGAGTTCTTCCATTCTTTTGTCTGAAAACGGCATGGCTCTAATGACAGTGTTCACGTGCAGATCGATGTTTCTTTCTTGTTCCTTTCCTTGATTTCTTCTTTTATGCTGTTCCTTTCTACAGCTCTGGACAATGTGTCAGCATGGACTAGCGCCTTTCCGGGTATGTAGGTGACCTTTAAGTCATACCTCTGCATTTGCGTCATGAGTCGTTGTATTCTTATTGGACAGTCTGCCAGTTGTTTTTTGAAAATGTTAACCAGTGGCATGTGATCTGTTTCCGCCTTGATTGTGGCTGCATAGATAAACTGGTGAATTCTTTGGCATGCAAAGGCTATGGATAAGCCCCCTTTTCGATCTGTGCATACCTGGTTTCAGCTGACGTCATAACACTCGATGCATACGCAATGGGTTTCCTTTCGTCATCATGTAGTTGCAGATGCACTGCTCCCAAGCCGTCCTTGGATGCGTCAGAGGCTACTTTCGATGGTCTGTGTGGATCATAGTAAGTAAGAGTTGGCTCTTACACCAGACACTCTTTCAGTAAGTTGAAGGCAGCTTCCTGTCTGTCTTCCCAGACCCAGTGATTTCTTTGATCTAGCAACTCTCTTAGGGGTGCACTCTTAGCTTACAAATTAGGTATTCACTTGGCCATGTAGGTTACCATTCCCAGAAACCTTTGTACTCCAGCTTTATCTGTGGGCCTAGGCATGTTTCTAATTGCTGAAACCTTTCTTGTATCCGGTTTGATACCTTCATCTGTAAGTTGATCTCCTAGAAAGACTAGTTTCTTGACTCCTAATTGGCATTTCTCTTTATTCAACTTCAGATTGTTGGCTCTTGTCCGCTTCAGGACTTCTCTTAGTGCTTGGTCGTGTGAGGCTTTATTCTTGCCTGCTATTATAAGGTCATCAATCGATGTGTCAACGTTTGTAATTGCCCCGAAGAGGTCTTGCATCTTCTTGTGAAACACCTCTGAGGCTGACTTGATGCCAAATGGCAACCTCTTGTATCTGTAGCGACCAAAGGGCGTTATAAAAGTAGTTAGCTTGCTACTTGATTCTGTTAGCTTCATTTGCAAGAACCCCTGTGAGGCATCTAATTTGGAAAACAGTTTAGAATTTCCAAATTAAGCCATTACTTCCTCTCTAGTGGGTAATTTGAAATGCTGTCTCTTAACTGCTTCATTCAATTCCCTTTGGTCCAAACATACCCTCAGCTTACCGTTTAATTGGTTTCTTTGCAACTACGATCGAGTTAACCCAATCTGTTGGCTCCTCTACTTTGACTACCACGCCCAATTTCTCCATGTGTACTAGTTCTAATTTCAGTTTCTCATGCAGTGGAAAGGGTATTTGTCTGCATGGCTGTACTTTGGGTACTGCTGTTTCATCAATTTCAATGTTGTACTCACCAGGAAGACATCCTAGTCCCTGAAACATATCTTCATATTCTTCCATCAGCTGTTGGTACTCCCTGGTTGGTTATGGGATCTATCTTGCACATCAGCTTGATCAGCTCGAGCTTTTCACGTGTCCTTCCCAAGAAGGCTATGTGAAGGGCCATCACACACATAGAATAGTGATTTCACTTGTTTTTCTTTATGCCTCAGTGTTATAAGCATTTTCCTTTGACCTTCAAGGGACTTCCTGAATATCATTTAAGAGCGGAGGTCTGTAAAAATCGACCAAAGGTGTGCAAAATAAAAAAAATTCGATTTTTTTCTTACTTAGCCCAAATGTAGGCCCAGATGAACTATTAATGTTAAAAAATATTAAAAACTTCATCAGATTTTTATTTCGCACATTGCTACATGCTCCAAGGCAATGAGACTATAACCAGATTAAACCACAATGTTTCCTCTTTCAGAAACTGCAATCAAATTTTTGGCCTACTGAAAAGATAAAATTTCAGGGCCCTTGACTTTTGTACTACGGAGATCAAAAACCCTGCTACGTAACAACCGAAAAATCACATGTTAGCCATTTGAAAAATTMACCAGAAATTCTCTTTATCGTCAGTTCCCTTAATATGAAAGCAAATTAGTTCCAATACAATAAGGAATAAAAGAATCACAGTTACATAAATTAACGCAAAAAACATTGTTTAATGGAGTTTACTTACATTTCAACGTATCCCATTGTTACTTGCTCAAACTAGCACATTACAAGACAATTATCGGTTTTGAAGGCGCTTCTTCTCGCTAAGGATGCAGCAAATAGTCAATTAGAACCTTCAGAAGATTAATTGTATTAGAATGACACCAGATATCCCACAGAATTTAAAGCGCTTTCTTCTTGTTTACGCGCGAACTGTGTACCATTAATAACTTCAAACAAACCAGATTGCGTTACACACAGGAAGCCCGACATTGACTATAACAATCTACAATTATTTGCACTGGTTGTTATTTACTGTAGTACAAATTACTGTATTAAGTACTGTATTATCAAATTGACGCATAACTAAATATATATCACTTGCTTTCAAAATTATTGTTCTTCACAGGAGCAAAATACTGCTGCATTAATCTGAAAATCCCGTTCATGGCGTTGTAAACATTTTCCAAAAGCGATTCAGTCTGAGATCGAGAGGAACAAAACATTCGAACAACGGCGCGTTTTGGAAACTCCGTCTTTTGTACGGCCATTTACAAGTGTAGGTTTCCGCATCGGAGAATTTTCAATTGTATGGGCAATTGATGGGCATGATTTCTTCTTTGCGTCCTCTATTTTTTCGTCCCCATACTCTTTAGTTTCTTCTTGAGCTGGAATAGAGCTTTTATCTTCCACGAAATCTCCCGGTGAAAACTCTATTTCCGTTGCAGTGTCAGGCAACTTGACAACTACTTTAACTATGAAAACAAAAATAAGATACCATAACTTATCTGGGGGACTTATCTATTTCCAACACCATTGAGGGGAGCTTATTAAATGGGGAGGGGGTGGGGGGCTTAATGATTTTCCGTTCCAAACATAATCATTATCCGGAGATAAAAAGCAGTTTTCGTGTGAGAGCCTGAATTTATAAGTGGCTTACCGTGTACTAACAGATTTGAAAACGTCTGCGCCGCGTCTGCACGGTGCCTTGCCCTTACAGTGCCAATATCATGCTTACGTACCAGGCATTTTACCCCATGACATGACGCCTCCATGACGCAATAACATTGACATATGCAAATGAAGATGGATACACTGGTTAAACGGAAAATCAACTTGTTGAGGTTGGCCTCAACACGGATACATCCCTTCTTCCATTGTGCCAGTTATGTGAAGCTATCGTAAAACCAAGTCGTATACAGGCACCATGGGCATCACTCCACTCAAAGCTTTTTCTACACACCATTCCCCATTGACCATTGTGGCAGACTTGCAAAACACTAAAAACAGAGTCCCTTGCATTCACTAGTATGTTAATAATTGCTGATTTTAATAATTGCTGAACGGTAAAAAAAGAACAATTAAATAGAAATAAAACATGAAATGTTTTTCATGTGCCTTAATTTTTATGCCTTAAACATATCTGTTAATAGGAGTTGAGAGCATTCGTTATTTTATTACTTTTTTTTTGTCATGACTTGCTAATATATTCGTTAATCAGGATACATTCCTTGCTAGCGCTATTTGTTCATAGTGCCTTAATTTATTTAAATAGCGATAAAGTGCTAGGTATTTGTTCGCTAAAGCACTTTTCAATTTTGAATTAGCGACCCGAGACTTCAGAATTACCAAAGTTAGACCAAATTCGAATAACTGTTTTTGTCACTTCAATACACGCACCGTATTCTTCCTTTTCCCCTTGTTTTGTATAATTAATTTTATATTTCAGAACAAGTTTAGGTAATGGTATGGGTCCGAGTAAAATTAAAGACCAATTTCAAGAATTAATTCTTAATTTGACAAGGAACCATACGATTATCCGTTTATCATAAATAGGGCAAAATTCAACGAAAAAATCCATTGATCCTGAACTATTAAATCAAATGTAGTTATAGTTCAAACACCAAAATTCAAACATAAAAGATCAAGTCAAAAGCCATAAAAACATGCATAAAACTAGATTCTTACCAACAAAGTTCTTAATCTGTATGAGAATCCAAAGGAAAAAGTGGAGTTTTTACTGATTAAGTCCAGACCAATATGATTGTGCTGAATAATTTCCAGCGATGCCGTTCAAAATCAGCAGTGAAGTTGTATACATTTCGGATTACTTGAGTGGTCTTTCCGAGACCAATTTACGTGAAACATTTATCCAGACACCTGTACTCTTTCAGGTGTTCTCATTTTCGATTGAACTTTTTATTTTTCTTATGGTTTTTTCTCCTGCCAAATTATGCAAAACATGAAGCAATTTGGTTTGCAAAAAACGTTTACGGTTTGCAAGCGTTGCTAGAAAAATGAACTACCAATCATACCCTAGAATATCGACCCCGCAAATTACGGAAAAAACTCAATCAGTATGGAGTAATTTTGCCCTGTATGTGATAACAAAATTAATTGCATTGTCTAAATTGGTATTTTCGATTTTAATCATTCCCTCGCAACTAGAATTTTTTGAAATCTGCATCTTGTAGATTTTGCTAGTATTTTAATTTAATTTTCCAAAATTGAAATAATCAGCATTAAATATGGGTTTATAAAGATTGTGACTAAAAAACTTTTCGATGAATTTTTTTAAAAGTAGGAAGCCACGTTAACGACGTTCATGGGCATTGTTCACGCTCATCATAACTATGCATGAATTTCGTACGCGCGCACCCATTGTTTTGAAGTCACTCCAATTGTTTTGATAAGCAAAATATCATTAAAATTTCATTTATCCATTATATCTCTTAAACAAAGTCGGCACCCCACTTTTTATTGCGGTTTTTGAAAGTACTTAATAATACCGAACGTTCGAGGAAAAATTAAAATCAAATCTGACGATGCGATCAAATCAAAATTA